TCCCTCGGGGGTAGGCCTCGGGGGCTTAGCTTCAGCGCTTGACCCTCGAGGGCAGGGGTCTTCGGCTGGGCTCTTCCCAGAAGAGCGGAGTCCGGGACCCTGCAGTTTGTGTGAGAAAGGCCAGAGGGTAGCGGCTCTGGGCCACTCGCGGTCGAGACTCCCGCACACCCGCTTGGGATTTGGTAGCTATGACAGCTGACATTCCTGAGCTCCTGTGGCATTCCAGGGAGGGAGGCCGGAACGAGATTTCTCGAGGAGGAGGAGGATCGTAAGTCTGATTTTGTCCTGAGTGGTCGTGATTTTTCTAACGTTTGAGGGAGGTTTGGATAGTCGTGCCCGAGGCAGAAAGCAAACATGACTGGACCGGGTAAGGTTGACTCCGGTGGAGGAGCTCTCCACCTCCGGCCGCTGAGAAAAGCCAGAGGCAGCCTGTAGGGGGCAGTGGAGATTCAGAGAAGAGCCAAAGTAGAAGGGACTTCATGTCCGTGGTCTAATCGAGCAGTAAGAGTTCACGCTACAGTGTTCCTGACAACTATAAGGATTTTTCAGTACTGGTAGGCTTTTGAAGGAGCATTCTCATTGTTGTAGAAAGGAAGTGTTACTAGCCGGCAAGACAATCGTAGAGGAAAGAAAGAATGCAACAGTGCCTTTTGATTATTGTGAATCTACATCCCATTATTTCTGGTTCTTAGCAGTTTTGTTGAAAGGCTGTCATTGATACACAAACTCAGTTCTCTCCAAGTATAGTATAAGTATTGAAGCTCTGTTGAGACACTGTTCTTTTCCCAAAAATATTTGTTACAAAGAACATGACTATTACTTGCTAACATAATTAGATGTTAACATCAGCAAGATAGCAGCATGTTTACTGAGAAGAAAAAAATGTCTTTGTTGTCTAGCAGTTTGGTTAAAGTTGATAATTTACTGTGCCATTGTGTGAAATGGATATATTATCCATCTCAATAAAGTGGTTTGGTAAAGTTATTTTTATATGCACTGAAGATGTTATCTAGTCGGGTAATGAAACGTCTGCAAGAAAACAACCAAGTTCGGGGAACCCCAAGGACTCTACGGTTATTTTTAGACAGTATTTTAGGGAACTTGGCATTACTCAAAAGCTTGCTGGGATACTTGGAGGAGAAGGCATGTAATGCTGAATAAGCATTTCTAAAAGACTCCTTGTCCAAATATTGCCGTACAGTGTATAGCTACAAACAGATTGCAAACTGTATTATAACTGAGGGTGTGCTTTCAGTTAATGCAGGATACAAATATCATCTAATAGATCTAATCCAGTGTTCTCTATTCTGGAGCCTACAGATATGAAACTTCAGGTGGCCAAGAACTCTGGGACTTGCAGTCCCAAAACATCTGAGAGGCTTACTCTATGCTTTGCAGCAGGTTAGAGAGAAGAAAATCCTTGGATTACTTTGCAATATACAGAAATTCCATGGCCAATTAGTACAGTATGAAAAATGTACCCTAAATATAGAAATTTTGAAAATCATTGCTATGAATGGAGTTATATTTTATTCTCTGAAAATAAGGGCTAAGCCTGTGAAGTCATAAAGTTGTGTGATGACTGGATTGCCAGGCTGTCAGTGGAGGCTTAGCATGGTAGAATGCTTCTCTATGAAGGGGTGTGTGTGTGTGTGTGTGTATATATATATATATATATAAAAAATCAACACATTAGGAAAGGTTAGGCTAAAATGTTTGTTCCTCAGCTACTGTTTTTCTCTATAT